GGAGGGAACAGGAGCGCATTAAGCCCACGGGAGCCCCGAGAAGCCCGTCGGCACGTGGAGTTTGCGGCGACAAGTGGCGAGAACGCCATGATGGCCCCAATGCCACTCAAGCCGCAACGCCCGCCCTGCTTCGACCCAAGCCAACGCGGCGGCCCGACAGTTCAATCGTGGGTCTTCACGATGAATGTGTTTTTCAACGCAAACTACGTCGAGTCGGACGCCGCCAAGATCCGGTATGCGGTTTCACTACTCAGGGGCCCCGCCATGGACTGGTGGCGAGTCATTGTGACGTCGCCGCGCGCCTACGAGCCACCGTCGCACGAGGAAGGGCCCTCGGGTCCAGCTGTTACCTGGAGTTCGTTCTGCGAAACCGCCCAATACAGCACGTGGGATGCGTGGTGCGCAGGGCTTCGGGCGCGCTTTGAGCCGATCGCGGCCTCGATTTCGGCGCGTCAGAAACTGCACACTTGGCGCCAGCTCGAGTCAGTTCAAGACTACACCAGCGGGTTTCTCGCACTTTGCGAACAGGTCGGCTACATGCACGAGGCGGAGCGGGTGGACCGTTACGTCGGAGGGCTGAAGCCGGACATCTCGCACGAGATAATGCTACGCGGGCTCTCGAATTTCAACGAGATCCTCGCGCTCGCCGAGAAAATCGATATCCTACGCCGACCGAGACCGGGGTCCTATTACGGACATCGTCCTCGGGGACCGACCGAGCACGCCACTGTACATGCCGTCGCAGCGAATGCAGCTGCCGCGCCGTTTAGAGGGCGCTGCTTTGCTTGCAACCGGCCGGGCCATCGCAAGAGCGAATGTCCAGAGGAGCTGAGGCGTCGAGGAGCAGAGCAAAGGAGGGAGTCTCAGAGGCAGGGAAACGCCAGCAGTCAGTAGAAGTTGGGCCAACTACTGACGAGACTGCCTGCTCGCCCAACCACACCGACCCTCACCGAGTCACAGTACCGATTCACGCCATCGATCGGGCTCGGATGAATAAGGAGGGTACAGCGACGGATTGCCCGGTACTGATCTACGGGAAAATACAGGGAGCAGCAGTGAAGATCTTCATTGACGGAGGAGCAAGCCACAGCTTAGTTAATACCGCAACCGCACGAAAATTACAGTTAACGCTTAACCGATGTTTACCTGAGATAGATGCACGCTTAGTCGACGGCACGCCCCTGGCCATACGGGAAAAGGTGGAGCGCGTAAAAGTCCGCTGCGGGGGGAACTTCGGGTTTACACAGGAAATGCTCGCGACGACACTGGATGGGCACGACATTTTATTGGGACGTGATTGGCTGCGACGGTACAACCCACGGATCGACTAGACGACGGGGAGCTGCACAGTGCGAAGTAGTGGTAACTGGGTCGTTCTACCTCACTAGCAGCCACCCGAATCTTCGACGGTCCAGGTCAGCGCCATCACGATGAAACGGGCTGTCGCTGCTGGAGCTGACATGTACGCAATGGATATCGCACTCGTAGAAAAAGATGAGCAGCCGAGTGATTTGGAGAAACTGCTGGCAGCTGTACCGACCGAACTACAGGCACTACTGAAACGGTTCCCGGGGATATTTCCGGATGATTTACCACAGGGACTGCCATCTCAGCGGGCGCACGACCATAGCATCGAGTTAGAACCGGGGGCACAGCCAACTGTACAGCGGCAATTTCGACTGACACAGCCCGAGCTCGACGAGTTAAGGAAGCAGTTAGATTACCTGTTAGAGAAGCAATTTATCCGACCGAGCTCGTCACCGTTCGCCGCACCGATACTGTTCACACCGAAAAAAGACGGAGGGTTCCGCATGTGCATCGACTACCGAGCGCTTAACAGGGTAACAGTCAAATCGCGATACCCCATCCCCCGCGCCGACGAACTGATCGACCAACTGCGAACAGCACGAGTCTTTTCGAAAATAGATTTACGGGGAGGTTACCATCAGATTCGGGTCGAACCATCGGACTGCGCCAAAACAACATTTAGGACTAGGTACGGGTCATTCGAGTATACAGTAATGCCATTTGGGCTGACGAACGCGCCTGCGACATTTCAGATGACCACGAACGAGGCGTTTAGACCACTTTTAGATAAATGCGTGATAGTTTACCTGGACGATATTCTAGTTTACAGCCGGGATAAGCAGCAGCACTTAGTGGATCTTGAAGCAGTTTTTAGGGTTTTGGAGGAACATCGGCTACTCACCAAGGGCTCCAAGTGCGAGTTTTTTCGGGACAGGCTAGAGTTTTTGGGTCACGTCATTTCGGAGGCTGGGGTTGAGATTGACCCAAAGAAGCTTGATACGGTAAAAGCGTGGCGCCCCCCGACGAACATCACGGAACTGCAGAGTTTTTTAGGTTTTGTTAATTACGTTCGACGGTTCGTGCCCGACATGGCACGTTTAACAGCCCCACTCACTGATTTACTGCGTAAGGGGGTCGCTTTTACGTGGGGGGAGAAAGAGCATGCTGCCTTCTCTGCCCTGAAAAACGTTCTCTGTTCACCACCCGTTCTACGCATCGCTGATCCCCACCGCCCTTTCGAAGTGGTTACCGACGCAAGTGACATCGCCATCGGAGCTGTACTATTACAGGACTTCGGCAACGGCCTCCAACCCATCGCCTACGAATCACGCAAACTACATCCGCCTGAGCGAAATTACCCGATACACGACCGCGAAATGTTCGCGATCGTGCACGCATTCAAAGTGTGGCGCTGCTACTTGACCGGCGCAGGCGTGACAGTACGGACAGACCATCGATCTCTACAGTACCTCCGCGCACAGCCCCACCTCAACCCACGACAGATTCGATGGCTCGATTTCCTCGAGTCGAATTTTCACTATACGGTCACATACAAAAAGGGAGCCTCGAATATCGCCGACGCACTTACCCGCCCAACTGCCCAGATCCACGCGATACTACTCGCCCAGACCAGCCCGCTACTGACAGGCCTATTTACCCACGGATATCAAACAGACCCGTTCTTTACAGGAGGCAACTCACAGCAATTCGCAGCGGCAAAAGGAGTCTATTACGTAAAAGCTGGAACCGACCGCATCTGGGTACCAGGATACACGCTACTGCGGGAACTACTGTTACAAGAAGCACACGACGAAGTTATCTCGGGACATTTCGGGGTAGAAAAAACACGGCAGCAGCTGCAGCGGTACTACTACTGGCCAGAAATGTTGACCGATGTGCAACGACACGTGGCATCGTGTCCCACTTGCCAGCTCATGAAGTCAAGCAGGAAGCGGCCGGCGGGACAATTGCAACCCATCCCGCCCCCAGAGCGTGCTTGGCAGCAGGTGACGATGGATTTCGTCACGGGGTTACCAGCTGGGGCGAGTGGGAATGACGCGATCCTGGTCGTCGTCGATCGACTAACGAAGATGGCTCATTTCGCAGCATGCAGTAAATCAATCACAGCCGAGGAAACCGCCCGACTCTTCATCACCACCGTCGTCCGACTGCACGGGATACCCGCATCGATCATCAGCGACAGGGACACGAAATTTACAAGCAACTTCTGGCGGAACCTGTGGCAGTAGTTCGGCACGCGCTTACAGTTCAGTTCATCCTATCACCCCGAAACCGACGGACAGACGGAACGGACAAATCAGACCATGGAGCAGCTGATTCGAGCCACGTGCGACGATCCGAATACGTGGGAACAGCAGCTGCCACTCATCGAGTTCGCGTACAATAACGTGCCATCAGCCACGACGCTACAGTCGCCGTTTTACTTGAATTACGGACAGGACCCAACAGTACCCATGACACCGAATCCCGACAACCCCGTCCCACGAGCACAACAGTTCGCCGAGATTCTGCAAGCAGCACGGACCAGGGCAACAGAAGCAATCAAAAAATCAAACATCATCGCTAAACGCAACGCCAATCGCCATCGCAGACCCGTTACTTATCAGCCCGACGACCTCGTTTTACTCGACACTCAGAACCTCCGCCTGCCCATCACTCCAAAACTCCGCCCTCGATACTGTGGGCCATTTCGAATCAGTCACATGGTTACGCCAGTCACCGCGCACCTCCTCCTCCCTGCTGATTGGTACGTCAGCCCCTCGTTCCACGTCAGCTTACTTCGCCCTTACGTGCCATCCACCAGCCAACTCCCACGACATCGACCCACCAGCATGACACGACCACCAACCGAACCAGTCATCACCCCCGACAAGATCCTGAGCCACAGAGTTCGCGACCCTCGAGGAGCCCGAAAAGTGGAGTTTCTGATCCGCTGGAAAGATCGTACCCCCACCGAGGACAATTGGGTTCCCCTGGAGAAAGTTGAAAATCACCCCGTCGTCACCGACTACCTACGTAGCCGCAATTTCCGAGACATCCACGCGCTTTCATAAGGAGGACCTCCTTAGGAGGGGGGGTAGTGTAAGGAAATTCCCTTTTCCTTACTTCGCGTCCCTGCTCAACGCGTACATCACTGTAGCACCTCAGTCATCACCGTTGCCACTCGCGACCATCGCATCATTCATCATCCCGCCCTTTTCGCACATCGCATCCCGACCTCACGGCTCGGCTGGTAACCCGCGCTCCGGGCCTACGCTTCGACACTTTCCCAACCTCAGTCCCAGGCACGTCGCGCGACCATTACCGTTACCACTGTAGTTTCGCTATATAATGTTCGCTCATGCCTTCGCTCATTCGTATTCTTGCTTCGATAGTGCAATTCTCGTTCGTTCACTCAATTGCACTCGTAACAATATGCCGCCTCTGACATCAGCGGCCACGACTCGTTATTTAGTTCAGCAAACCAAAATACCGTCTGCTTTTGCTTTTGGGATGGCGTATAAAACCATACACTGTGCAATTCATAAATGATTTCAAGTAATATTTTGAACATTACGACCTTGTCTTGTATATATTAGCAAAACTTGAAGAAAACAGCAAGGTTCGACTATCAAGAAAACAACATATATACAGATACATTCACAAGTTGTGCATCAAAACAATGTGCATACTCAGTCATCCACTTCCTCTTCTCCTGTCTCGGGCCCTTCAAACATCTCTTCCAGAGGTGGTGGTGGCACTGGCATGCATGCTTGCCCCCTCTCCCCGGACAGGACGCACAGCGCCTCGGCGTCTCTGAGGGCGGCGTCCAGGTCGATGTGGCAGCTGAGGTCGTTGGCGAACTTGAGCAGCGAGTCAAACTCCATCTGCCATGCCATCACACAACACTCCTGCCGTCAACCTAGGCAGATCCAATAATGTCATGCACTACTCATCCCCTCATACCCCATACACCAACAGGCATCCTCTACTTCCCCATCACATAGTCAATCCCCCGTGCCCCCTCTTCTTCCCCCCTTCTACGGCCGCACCTGTTCATCCATGATGCGGCGGCGGTGGCGTTTAAGCACGGCGGCAGCAACGAAGAGGTGCAGGTGCTGCGACAGGTGGCAGCTCCACAGCGCCTCCCACAGCCGGCATGTATCCTCGAACTCAAACTCCCTGCCACCCTCCCGTGCAGCACAGAGCAGGTCAGCACCGAAGCAGAGCAATAACGGCGCACGCGGCACACCAGGGGAACAAGTGGGCAGAGCCGGTGCTCCATGTGGCATGCATGGGAGGCAGCAAGCAGGGCAGGTGGGCATGGCGTACCTGCTGTTGTATCATGACGTGAGGACGCACCTCTTGAAGCGCACGAGGATCCAGCGGAAGCAGAAGAAGAAGTTGAGGCAGTCCACACTCTCCAGGTACTCGTACAGCGGCGGGTCCACCAGCTGCACGAGCTGTGCGCACGCAGGAGGGGGGTAGGGGAGCAGCGAGCAGAGGGGGATGAGGGCCCGCATGCACTGGCAGCCGGAGAATGAACGAATAAGAAGCGGTGGTTGAGGGGGAGGATGAAGGGGGAGAGCCATGCAACCGGTGCTGTGCATGCACCTTTTAGAGAGCACAGAGCTGGGCGTGCATGCACCTGGGAGAGGGCTTGCAGCTGGGCGTGCATGCCGCTCTGGTCGCGGTGGAAGTTGGGCGCCATGGTCTCCATGTACGCTGTGAACGCCCAAAACGCCTCCACCTCGTCCCCCAGCACCATCAGCAGCGGTGCTAACAGGTCTCCCATGCCCTGAGGGGGAGAGGAGAGGGGAGGCAGGGGGACGGGAGGCAGGGGGACGGGAGGCAGGGGGACGGGAGGCGGGGAAGAGGCAACGAATTGGTTGGTGGAACATGAGCGAGAAAAAGATGTACACATGCCTGGCATAACTATGCAGCACATGTGGGAGTTGCAAGGGGTTGAGGATGAGGAGAATGGACGGATGACGGCAGCAAGGCACCTGGCATGAGCATGTAAGGCAGCAGGGCAGGCAGTAGCCGACAAGGCAGGTAGCAACACCTGGCAATAGCCGAGGTGGCAAGGCAGCACATGGCAGCACCTGGCAGCACCTGGCAGCACCTGGCAGCACCTGGCAGCACATGGCAGCACCTGGCAGCAAATCACAGGTGGCAGCAAATGACCTGGCAGTAGCCGAGGTCGAAGTTGTAGAAGGCGTAGGTGATGAGGATGCGGCGCACCCGCTCCAGATTCTCATTGCCCTCCCCCGCAAAGAAGGGCAGATGCCGGTCTGTGCGCACCTGGTGGGGGGGGCAGGCAGGGTGCAGGGTGCAGGGTGCAGAGTGCAGGGTGCAGGGTGAATGGGACGTGGCAGGAGGAGAGAGGTCAGTTTGGGGAGACAGGTCGGGGCAAGAGGGGAAATCGGTGCATAAAAAGTGGAAGAGTGTGCAACTGACGGAGGAGAAGGTTGAAAGTGGTGTGCCGACCATTTAATGAGCACAACAACTGGAAGCGCAAGCGGGCACGAGATGGAGGGGTGGAGGGGCGTACAACATCCTTGTCGATGCGGCTGCACCTCTCCCTGTACTTGGTGAACCGCCTCGCCTGCTCCTCACTTATACTCTGCACCGCATGGCAGCAGCATGGGGGGAGAGAGAGTGATGGTGCACATAGCGAGGGAACAGAGCGTTGAGAGCGGGAGCAGAGAAGAGAGATGGGGTACTGTGGTTGAACTCTAATGGTCCACATCTTGCAAGCAACGCTGACAAAGGCCACTGTGAGCGCAAGTGCAGCCCACCTGCCACTGCAGCAGTAGCGAGTTGTAGGCGGTGATCTGCCTCTGCCGCAGCTCCTCCCTCTCCGCGTGGCTGGCATCCCACGGCACATAGCCCAGCAGGCGTGGCCACACCTGCTCGCTCCATGGGGGTGCGTGGGGGCCATGGGGGCCACGGGTGAGTGGAATGAGAACGTGTGGCATGGGGCTAATGAGATGGGATGTGTGCACGGCATGCGGACAGTGGAGAGGAGGTGTGCAATGTGCCATGGTACCACCCACCCCATGCATACATGCATGATGCACCCATGGCAGTGGCAAGCATGGCAGTGGGGGCACCTGGGAGCGCAGCTGTGGGTCCATCCCGCTGTAGAAGATGCGCTGCAACACCGCCTCCCTGTTCGCCTCGCTCACCCGCCCCTCACTGTCCTGATACCCCCGCCACTGGTGGGTGGGGCGCGGGGTGTGGGATGGCGAGGAGGGCAGCAAGGGGGGCATGGAAGCAGATGCAGGGACAGGCTCAGGGCACGGGAGGGCGGGACGTTGATGAATTCATACACATGGGAGTGCATAGGGGGATAAGATAAGATGATATGCACGGCAGCACGGCAGCAGGGCGCACAACCGACCTCGTCTGCGGAGAGTGGTGGCAGGAGAGGGCGAGGCGGCACGAGGGAGGAGGAATTGTCCTGCAGGGGGCATGGGCACACGAGGAGGCATGCAGCGTTGGATGTCAGGTAAGTACATGTAATGAAGGGCGCACGATTGCAAAGAGCGGGAGGAGAAGCACCGGCAAGGATGCAAGTGGTGTGCAGCATGTGGCATGTGGCATGTGGCATGTGGCATGTGGCATGTGGCATGTGGGCATGCAACGTCACCTGAAAGTCGTCCAACAGTTCAAACTCGCCCACGCCTGTGCTCTCCTCCGTGCTCCCCTGCACACAAGCACACGTGCGCACACACATGGATGCAGTGAGGATGCAGGGAGAAGATGAGCGCATACATGTGCCACAACCTCATCGCACCATGTCATCACACCCCACTCCGCACTCCCCTCTTCCCCCCATCCCTCATTCCCTCCCCCAAGAGCAGGAAGCGCACCTTGATGGTGGTAAGGCGGCTCAGGCTGCCCTCACTCTCGCCCTCCTCCTCTTCCTCCTCCTCCCCCCCCCACCCGCCCCCCCATGCGTCAGCAGCAGGCATGCGCTCCTCCGCATCCCTGCCGCCCAGCAGCCGCCCCTCATAGCCACCCATGCCGCCCATGCCTCCCAGCCCGCCCATGGCCTCCCCCATAGCGGCGGGGGCGGCGGCCAGCATGCCACGCGCCATGCGCGTCACGGCGGAGAACCCCCCCAGCACCTGGGGAACACAGAGGCAGGAGGGCGGGGGGAGAGGGGAGATGGCACAGGCACGGGCGAGGCATGAGCATGCATGCACTGGCCAGGGGTGTTTCTGATCTGAGCAGCACTGGCAGCACAGGCAGCTCGCCCCGCACCTGCATGGAGATGTCCTTTGCCACGTCAGCAGGCTGCTGGCGGTGAGTGCTGTGCCGGTGGTGGTGGTGGTGGTGGTGCTGCTGCTGCTGGTGGGAGAGCGCCCTGGCACGGGCAGCGTCCTGCAGGGCGCGTTCATTGGCAGCCTCCAGGATGCGCAGCATCTCCGCCTCCGATGGCTGCTCCCCGTTTCCCTCTCCCCCGCCCCCCGCCTCCCCTGCTTCCCCCGCCCTCCCCCCTCGCCTCTGCTTGGCCTGCTGCTGCGCCAGGGCATGAGCGGCCTCCAGCATGCGCAGCATCTCTGCTTCACTCGGGTACTGCTGCTCCTCGCCCCCCTCCCCTCCCCCCTCGCTTTCCTTGCCCCCCTCCTCTGCGTCCACTGCCCCGCCATCAGAAGCGGTGGGAGTGACCGCGGTGCTGCGAGGGGCAAGCGACGGGGGCAGCTTGTTCCGCCGCACTGCCTTGGTCCCCTTCCCCTTGCCACCCTCCGCGCCCTCCGCGTCCTCGCCCCCCTCCCCCTCGTCCTCGCTCACACTGCCCAGCGCCCTGCTGGCCCTCAGCGGCCCCACCGCCGACGCACTGCGCTCGCCCAGACGGTACTTCCCCCCCGCCCCCGCCCCTCCCCTCCCTGCTGCACCACCCGCCGCTGCTGCAGCGGCAGGGGGCGCGGAGGGGCGGAACGGCGGGGCGTGGCGGCGGGCGGCGGGGAGCGACATGGAGCGGAAATTGGCGGAGGCGGGCGGTTCGGCGGGGTCGGTGGAGGGCGGATCCCACAGATGCAGGCGCGCTAGACTCCTCTGCTCGCCTCGCATCGCATGATGGGCGGGCGCTCACGTGGGGCAATGGGGGGCACAGATATGGAAAATTATATGAAATGAGTGTGTAGTTGAAAGAGCAGGACAGGGCAAGGCACGGCAGGCATGAATAGAGAAGGAGCATGGAAAGGCGGGGCACCTGCAGGAGGTCGAAGGACTGGTTGACGTTGTAGACGTTGGGGTCATCCAGGGAGCGCTCGAGCATGACGTGCTGCTTCAACACGTGCAGGAACTCCTTCACCCCCCCGTCGTAGAAGTAGAGCGGCGGGAACGCCACCCCTGCACCCCCCACACGCACACACGCACAGGGTGAGGTGAGCAGCAGTGGGGAGATGAGCAGGGTCTACTCATATGAGAGATGCAGGGAGAGGAAGTAGGAGGAATGCGGGCAGGCAAGGAGGGGTTGGAGGGGGACCTGAGGTGAGGACGATGATGATGTAGTGCCAGCCGAAGGGCGGTGTGTGGCGGCGGATGGAGCGCATCTCCGACACAGCCACTGAGCGGATGGAGTACAGCAGACTGCCACGCGCTATGCCTGCTCCATCCAATGGTTGAGGGGGGGGGGAGTGGGAGGGTGGGGGTATTGGGAGGATGTCTCGTGCGATGCACTGAGGGAGCTAGCTCACATGAAATGTGATAAGAGCAGGTCAGGGCGACGGTAGCAGCAGCTGATAACAGGTGAGACGCATGCACGCATGGTGAGATCAACGCGACGTCAGGCGGCAGTGTCACCACGGTGGGTGACTGACCAGCGCAGTGCCGTGCAGAGTGCACGCTGCATGCCATGTGTGCATGAGAGATCAACACGCGAGGCCATGGCCTGTACAATCAACGCATCTACGCACCTTTAGGCGTGCCTGCGGGCGAGGAGGGCTCGTAGGGAATCCAGTTCTGGAAGCAGCGGCAGGGGCGGGTATGTGGGGCAGGGGGTGCATATTGGTGGGATGAGTGGTGTCTGGCATGGCAAGTGGCATGGGTGGGTGAGATTCCTAAGAGCGGAAGGGCAAAGAGGGCGAGGAGTGGAGTGATAGAGCGGAGCAAGGGGCGGGCTCCTGGGACGCGCATCCAAGGGGAGGGATGAACCGGCTCACACACGGACATGACAAAAAACGCGAGCAGGCCGAGATGGGCCGAGGCAAGGCGAGGCGGGGAGGCGGAGCGTTTGGGGGCGAGGAGTGGCAAGTAAGGGCGAGGGGAGGAAGCGGGGGGCGTGCGCGTACGAGGAAGACGTCAGCGCCATGCTTGACGAGGCGCAGCTGCCCCGCGATCTTGCGACTGGACGACGCGGACGGGTGCACCGCCACGTTTCCCTTCACGAACAGCACCTCGCGCGCCACCCCCGCCACCCCCGCCTTCTCCTGCGCGCCTCCCCCACCCGCCCCCTCCTGCGCCCGCGTTCCCCCTTCGCCATTCTCCATCCTCTTGCTCCCGCGACCCTCGCGCGCGCCTTGCTTGCCGCGCAACTCCCGCGCTTGGGGTTCTGGCTTGCTGTTCCCGTCGCCATCGCTCCCCTCAGCTGGAGGAGGCTGCGCGGGCGGGGGTCGGCGCAGAGGGGGGGTGGTGGTGGAGCGGATGTAGCGCGCGTTGCCGCTCGGCACGGACGACGACGACGGCAGCGACCGGCCTTGTGCGACCGACTGCGCGCTTGCAGGAGCCTGCGGAAGAAACGCGGGAAACGTCGGGATACACGGTGCGAGTGCGCGCTCAGATTCATTGGAAATACGACTTTAGATTGAAGGACGAAAGACGAACACACGGGAACAAATAAGTGTGTTTAGATTGTGAGCGATGCATTCAGACATGGCGGACGCGTGGGTAGACGACGATGGGCAACGCGCTGCTTGTGTACAATCAGAACGAGCGCGCATGTTGGCGGTCGAAGGTGTTGACAGCGCACACTCCGACGAACAGCGAACGGCATGACCAGCGACAAGTAGAAAGGCCTCGCAACCTGTCTGACCTCGCAACCTGTCTGACCTCGCAACCTCTCTGACCTCGCGAAATTGACTGCGAAGCGACGAGTGACCCCTGGGCGGCGGAGGTACGTCGTCGGTGTTGGCCTCCACGCACACGCTCCTATCGCGAGCCATGCTCTCGCTCGCTCTCACTTCCACTACGTAATTCACAAACAGAAACTACTGTTAACGCTATCAGCAGGGTCTTGAATAATCATGCTATCACAGGGAAGGCTGACAGAGGCAGCAGGTGGGTGTGTTGTTGCGTTGACTGGCAAATCTCGCAACAGCAAATTAGCCTTGGGATTGTACGGCAGGTTGGCGAGGGTAGGATGAGTGCACACGGCATTCCTACGGCGGGCGGTCTGACTGATGACGGGGGGATCGCTGAGTCGCTCGCTGGCCTGTGGCACGCGAAGGATATGTCAGGCAGGCGAGCGTGACGATGGCATTGCGACGAGGAACTGGATGGGATGGGAATGCGATGCGACTGAAATGCGATAGTTTGGGAAATCCGATGGATGTGATGGATGGGATCGCGCGGCTGAGTACCGCCGCTGACGCACAGCTCCGCACTTTCCCCGTCGCTCCGCACGGATGCGGTGTGCTGCGTGCAAAACACGCTTGCGGGACCACGAAATCCGTCCCCATCCCGCCCCACCCCACCCCACCCAACCAGTCGCGGGCCGCTTCCCCATCCCCTTGGGTGGAATGGGTGGGGTGAGGTGGCCTCAGGTCTCGCCAGGGGTTGGAAGCTTTACAGCGCGGTGAGACATGGATGTGAGGAGTCAATGTGGAGTGAGCCAGAAGTTGTTGGTTGTCCGAATTGGTCGAATCTGGTCGATAATACACGACCATTCCATTCAATCCCAGCAAATTCAAAAACCGAGGCAGCGTCAACGGCGTACAGAAGCATTTGTTGGGCCCATCTGATCACGAAGAAGTGAATTAAGAGCTCTCTAGGTCGGCGCATTGTTTCTATGGTTCCATGTATGATCAGTGTGCCACCCAGGTAGAGTATGCGTGCGTTTTCATAAGACTTCTGTTATCAGTCGTGTTTCTTGTCAGAATATACGTCGTGTCTGTCGGTCATCTCGAGTTATGTAATCGCCTTCAGGCACGCCAGCTGCGGCCTCAACGGCTTCACCGATCACCAATGGCTATTCGATTGCAGTCTTACCGGCATCTGTCCTCCTTGCTTCTGTTTATAACAGCATCCGCGGCTACAGCCTCTCCTCTCATCTCCCACCAATTCAGTCACCCCTCTCCCACCTCTGCTGATCGTCATTCCACCATCGTCAGCCATTCGAACGAGCAGTACAATGGTCGTCGCAGGCTCGTGCTGCCGTCGCATCTGGCTCGCCCGCACTCCACGGACGACACAGAGCTGCCGTGCGGCGACGCTTGGCAGCACAACTACACCGCCTTCCACACCTCCGCCCGCGCTGCGGCGCGCGATCCGTCGGCGCGGGCGCAGGAGAAGGCGGAGCTGCGGTACCTGACGTTCACGTGCACGCCGGGGCTGTGCGGCGGGATCGGCGACCTGCTGATCGGGCTCGTGTCGTCGTTCCTGCTGTGCGTGCTGCAGGATCGCATCCTCATCGTCGACTACCCCTGGATGCTGCACGCCTTCGAACCGAATCACATCGACTGGCGCCTCGGCGACGACGTCCCCATGGACCCCGCGCGCCCCTTTCCGCCGGGCCCGCGAGACAGGCGCAGGCGCGGGCAGGCAGACCCGAACGAGGTGCAGGAGGGGGAGGTGCTCCGCGTGAATCTGCACAACCGCGACCTGCCGAGCAACGTGACGGAGTTCTTCGAGCGCATGCGCGCCGCGAGGAACATCAGGCTCATGTGGAACCGCGGGCTGCTGGTGCGGCTGTACGAGGAGGACGGTGCCTGGTGGCACGAGCTGCACAGACGAGGGCTTAGACTGCCGTCCGCATTCGGGTGCATTCTGCGATACCTTATCATGTAGGTGCCAATGCCACCCCACGTAGTGTCGCATGCCACGTGGTTGCTGTGCACCACAGGTCACGGCTTGCTGATGAAATGCTGTCACACATGCTCCCCTGCCTCTGCACAAGCTTGTCCACCTTACACTGCAGCAGCATCTCAATGTGCGTCCACCACATTTCTGCCTCGCACCTCTAACCTGGCCCCTCGCCCACCCTCGCCCACCTCCATGCATGGAACTGTCATGGTGGTGGCGGCAGGCCGACGCCAGGGGTGCGGCACATGGTGCGAGAGGGCATAGCGCGGCTGACGTACCCGGGCACGGCGTCCATCTGCATCCACGTGCGCACCAGCGACATCTCCACGTGGGAGCAGCCCAAGGTGGGCGAGAAGGTCAAGCCGCGCAAGGAGAACGTCAAGCGCCTCCTCAAGGGCTCCCAGCGCCTCTTTTCCTGCGCTCAGGTGGGTGGCCACAGCAGTTCTCGTGCTCTCTGCTGCCGTGCTTGGCATCATCCGTGTGTGACTGTGAATTGTATGTGGTGGCGCATGCAGAAGCTGGAGGACTACTGGTATTCGAGTGACGCCCCAGGCATGGCAGTCAAGTGGGTGCTCATGAGCTCGTCGCTTGGACTCAAGCAGGCTGCACAGAGGAAATATGGCAGTAAGGTAAAATGGAAGGCTTGTGGAGAGATGCTGGTTGACTTTGCCACTATGGCACCTCTTGCCCTTTTGCCTTGCTTGACCCCTGTCGCCTGGGTCCTCATGCAGGTCATGACAACCGGTATTCAGCCCCTTCACATTGAGCTTCAAGGCTTCTCAGATGAACAAAGGGCGGAAGCCTTTCAATCCACCGTGGCTGAATGGCTGCTATTCACACATTGCAACCACTTTATCTTCACCGAGTCAGGATTTTCCAAGACTGCTGCGTTGTACTCATTGAGAAGACTATCAGCCCACATGATGGCAAGATGGGCTGATTCATGGAGGGACCACTCGTGGAAAGATAAATGTGATCCTGAGGAGCCCACCAGGATTACGGTGCTGGGGAATACAACCCGTTGGAGCGGGATTTAGCCTGTGCATATGTTCTTACGAAAAATATTGCGTGGTTAACCAAAATGACTATCTCTGTACGATACATTATCAAAATCGCAGCCTCTTATATCACGGGCTTCTTGTTTTAGTCCAACAACACGTCAAACTGCCCACCGTCCCAACCAACAAGCTGGACGGCTCGAAAAAACAGGCAGGTTGGATTTGTGCCCCTCGGACTTGGGGATATATTTTTGGGTTGCGAAGCAACCCTTTACAATCGATTTGCCAGATTTTATTTTCATGTTTACCATTTTTAATAGAACATGAAAATAAAATCCGTAAACTACAGTACCCTTCCCACACGTGTGCATGTTGAAGAATTTTAAATGTTGCTCACAATATATTAAATCATATGTTTGCCTGGTCAATGGTTTGGTGAATATATGTTGTACTGTTATATATTAGTATGTGTTACTATTAAATGGTGCAGTGGTAATGATAAATAGATGCATGATGCATAAATAATGCTATATGATGCATAATGTTTAATAGTATGATGTCATGAATCATGATGCACATGCATGCACACAATAAAATGCGTGACAGTTAACGACCCAAAAACTAAGCTACCGCCATCCCCTGCCTAGCATTGGGGGGAGGTCAATAGCATAGATTTTGAATAATCAACAATCACATGAAACAACACACTCTGTGAAATCTAAAAAAGAAGTCAACTCTATCAAATCCAGTTCGAAGTGGTCGCACACGAGTCACTGAGTGCGCCAATGAACCTTATGTGAAATGATAGACCTGAGCTTTCTTTTTAAAAATCACAGACATGCATTGTTAATGCAACCATACATGGACATGAATGCACATGCACACATACAAACATGCAAACACAACCACACGCATACGCACACAAACCTCAACACTCGAACGAAATAAACAGAAACATGCAAGGAAATATACCAACACAAAACAATTATCCTACAGAACATCAGCCACTGGTATAGTTTCATATTCCAAATGAAAGTGGACTTCTTGAAGGATACAGCAAAGTCTCTGAGGAGAAAACAGGGAGAGAAATGGGAAATAGAATGGGAAGAAAAAAAAAGAGACTGTGAAATAACCGATGAAAACGATTTGGAGATTGAAAACGACGAATGAAAACGGATTTGTAAGAATCTGCAAATACACATTTGAACATCAGTGAATAAAGTTGGAATCAAGAACACAAGACTTACACACCACACACTAATCTGCTGCTGCCTATAAAGAAAGGGTAACGAAGAGCTATAGAAAGTGGGCGGGAGAGAACTACATGAAAAAAAAAAAAACGGTAGTTTGGATGCAACCAGAAACGGTAGCTTTGATTGAAACGAGAGTGATAGAAAGTGAGAGAGAACGAAAGAGAGAGAACGAGAGAGAGAGAGAGAGTACGAGAGAGAGAGAACGAGAGTGATAGAACGACAAAGAGAGAACGAGAGTGAGAGAACGACAGAGGGAATACGAAAACGAGAGAACGAGAACGAGAGAACGAGAGAGACAGAACGGAAAAGAGAGAACGAGAAAGAGATAAAGAGAGAGAGAGAGAGAGAGAGAGAGAGAGAGAGAGAGAGAGAGAGAGAGAGAGAGAGAGAGAGAGAGAGAGAGAGAGAGAGAGAGCGAGAACGAGAGAGAGAGAACGAGAACGAGAGAGCGCGAACGAGAGAGATAGAACGAGAACGAGAGAGAAAGAAAGAGGGAGAGAGACATAGAGAGAGAGAGAGAGAGAACAAGAGCACGAGAGAGATAGAACGAGAATGTAAGAGAGAGAGAGAACGAGAGAACGAGAGAGATAGAACGAGAGAGAGAGAGAACGACATGCTGCTCGGGTCGAGTTAATTTCAATCTGGCTATCAAGGCAAAGAAGGTTGGCGTTCAAATCGACCTAACAAATGTTGGGCTGAGATAGCCCCTTAGGATCTTTGCAAGGGATAACTCTAGGTGAAGTAGTTGTAATAGCGGAAGCGTTTAGTGAAGAATTTGAACCGACCTTGCACTGGTGTGTGAGAGCAAAGTTGATTGAATTAAACAAGCAAATACAAGGATTTATATAAGAGTACAGGGAATAGATAGATAACTGTATTGCTGTTGCGGTTCGATGTAGCGCGACTCGGGCAACTGCTCTGTAACGAGTCAGTTGTGTGTCCTTAACTGTCGCGCTGTAATTGTCGAGTCAAAGGTCAGCGACCTTTGACTTTCTCGTAACCTCCAGGCGGTTACCCTAACCTCCGAGGTTGACTCGATGCTTCGATTGGGACTGCTTCGCTTGGTACCTTGGATTTTGATACGACAGAAGCGCACTTAGGACTTATTGTTTCCAACACTCCCCTTCGCTTCTGGAGTGTTACTGCTGGTGACGTGGCCTTGTCCAGTCAGCATCATGCAGTATTCGAACTTCTGCTTGCCGAGTTTCTTGGTCAAGTAATCGGCTGCCATCTCGGATGTTGGACAGTATGACAGATCGAGTTTCCCTTTTTCTATCTCGTCCTTCACGAAGAAATAGCGCAGGGCGATGTGTTTCGTCCTGTTTGCGAAGCCGTTTTTGTTGGCGATGCGAATTGCTGACTGGTTGTCGCAGAACACGGTGAAGCTGGGTAACTCGGCTAGCTTCGCTTCTTCCAGTAGTTCGCGAAGGTAAAGTCCCTCCTTGGTGGCTGAGCAGAGTGCAATATATTCTGCTTCTGCTGAAGATAGTGCGATTAACTCCTGCTTGCTCGACTGCCAGGAGATAGGACCGATAGGCTCAAGGCGGTAGACATAGCCGGTGCGTGAGCGCCTGTTGTCGGTGTCGCCGGCGTGATCGGCGTCGACGTAGCCGATTAGCTTAGTCGGTGTAGCTGCGCTCTTGTGGTAGGTTAGCCCGATCGTCGCGGTGCTGACGAAGTAGTGGAGAGCGCGATCAAGTTCCGCCAGGTGTTCAGCTTCAGGCTTCTTGAGATAGGTGGCGAGCTGACTTGCGGAGTAGGATAAGTCAGGACGGCAGGTGACGGCGGCGAATAGCAGGCATCCGAGCTTCTTCTGATAGTCGCGTATGCCGGCGGGCTTGAGTAGAGTAGTTCGTTCCTTCTCGGTTCCTGATGTGTAGCGGTAGGGCGTGGAGATGGCGCTTGGTGTGAGGCTGAAGCGTTTCGCGATGGTGTCGGCGTATTTCTCGGCGCTTAGATAGATGGCGTTTTCTTCTTCGCGGATGTTGAGCCCGAGGTACTGTGTAACGGTGGAGGAGACCGTGAGCGTGAGGTCTTTCTGGAGCTCTCCTTCGAACCACGTGGCGATGCCGTCGGTTGACCCAATGTAGAGGAGATCGTCCACGTAGACGATCAGGAGAACGTAGTCGCTTCCCTTAGTGAGGCGGTACATGCCTTGGTCGTGAGGTAGTTGACTAAAGCCGATGCGGATGAGACGGGCGTGCAGGTACTGTTGCCACAGTCGCGGTGCCTGCTTGATCCCGTAGAGCGATTTAAGTAGTTGACAGATTCGGTTGGGTTCGCCGTGGGAACCGTGCGGGAGCTCGACGTAGATTTCTGCATCCACAGGTGCGTAGAGGAAGGCATTCGCGACGTCGATCTGCCGTAACTTCTTCTTCTTCATGGCGGCAATGGCGAGGAGAATTCGGAGTGACGTGTGGCGGCTGACTGGAGCAAAGGTCTCGGTGAAGTCTCGTCCTTGCTCTTGGTCGAATCCACGTACGACCCAGCGTGCTTTGAATTTTTCGATCGTGCTGTCTGCTTTCGTCTTGATGCGGAAGACCCATTTTCCGGTAAGGATGGTTTTGTTCCGTGCCACGCTTACGGGAACAACCTTCCAGGTGTTGCGTTCCTCTAATGCCTTCAGTTCTCTATCCATGGCTTCACGCCATTTCTCCCTGTGTTCCCCCCCCAGAGCCTGCTGAACCGTTGCAGGCTCCTTAGGAAGCGAGCTGCGTGTGTTCCCGTGGACTGCGGTGACGAGGCCGAGGATTTGCAGCCCAGTCTGTGAGTATCGAGGGAGTTCTGGATCCTCGGGATAAGCTGCTTCGTCTCCCGTTTCTGGGTCGGGCATGAAATTTGGCCCTACCCTTTCTGCTTCGTTGGTGTTGACTGTCACAGGTGTTACGTAACCATCGTCGGCGAAACGGTAGAAGATTTCGGCGTTGTTACTGTCGCGAGGATTATCCTCATCCATGGGCACGTCGACGGAGCAGTATGGGAGAGGTCCGGCTTCTTCTGAGGCGTTGTCGACGTTCTGTTCATCCCAGTCTGCTTCGTCCGCTGCTGACGCGAAGGCTCGGTCACCACGAAAACCACTGGTGAGGTCCCGATTCTCGTGCAAGTTGGCGAGGTACGTCTGAAGGGTGAGTCTTTCGTAGAAGATCACGTCACGTGCTGCTACTGTTTCCTTTGTGTGGACGTCGAAGATTTTCCATGCGTTGTAATTTTTCTCGATGCCGAGGTGTAGTCCCCACTGTGCCCGTTGCGAAAATCTTCCCGCTCGTGCTTCTGGGGGTCTGTACTGTACCATGCACCCGAAAACTCGTAACATTTTCGTGCTGCCCTGCTTCCCTGTCCACAGCAGATGCGGTGATGCGTTGTTCGGGAGTGACGACGACGACAACAAGTTGTGTAGCATGACAGCGTGGTCCATTGCTGCTGGCCACTGGTGGTTGGGTAGCCGCATGCCACGTAATAGTTTGCGCATGCTGTTCTGCAGGGTCCTGTTCAGTCGTTCTGCAACACCTTGCTGCTGATGTGCGTAAGGAAGGGAGAGGAGTTGCTTGATCCCCCTTTCCGCCAAGAACTGCTTGAAGCGGTGAGAGGTGTACTCGCCACCTCCGTCTGACTGGAAATTTTTCAGTTGTGTTCCAGACTCTCTCTCTGCTATCGGTAGCCAGGCGGCGAATGCTGCGAGCGCCATGTCGCGGCTGGGTAGGTTGCGATGCCAGACGTATCGAGTGGCGGCGTCGATGAAGGTGATGGTGTAGTTGTAGTTGACTTGTCCTGGCTCGCGATTGTAGAGGATGTCGCTGTAGACTTTTTCGAGTGGTGCGTACGCTGGAGCGCTCGGGTTGTGATGTGAAGCAAACGGTCGATGAGGTAAGTCAGCTTCGGGACATATAAGGCAAGTCCCTCGTGCCTTCTGGAGTTCTCTGCCATCGGGTAGAAGTAGAGAATCTTTGTCAAGGACTCCTGCTCTTATCGTGTTATTCAAAACCGTGTTGCTTGGATGTCCTGTTCGTGCGTGCCAGATCTCTTCAGAGGCGCGGTGTCCAGGTGAACGCTGATATGCGTCGGAGTTGGAGTAAAAGCTGGCGACGAGGTTGGCGCTTCGGTGGACTTCACGTTGAGTCGGATTCAGCTGTTTCGCGGGTGTTGGTGGTGCTTCGTCGACTGTGACTGGTGTCGTTGTTCCTGCTGCTGCTGATGTTGTTGCTGCTGCCGATGTTGTTACTGCTGCTGATGTTGTTACTGCTGCTGATGTTGTTGCTGCTGCCGATGTTGTTACTGCTGCCGATTGTCGAATTGTTGCTAATGCTCGTGTTCGTTCTGCTTCAGGAATGGTGTGCGAGTACCAGAAGCCTCCTGGGCTGAAGTCGGGGTCGAGATCCGGAGGGTGTGTCCAGTCAGTGAAATTCACGATGGCGTCGCTGTCTGCAGTGCCCAGGTCAGGAACGAAGTCGAGGACGAAGACGTTGTTCTTCAGCACTGCTTTCCCGATGTAGAGACCGCCTCTCCCGTGGTAAAGTTTGAACTCCTGGGTCGTGCTGTCGGCTTCCAGATGAATTCCTTTCGCCATCAACTGGCTAGCGCTCAGTAAGTTGTAGCCGAGTCCTTCAGCGATGAGTACCTTAGACATGTGCAGTATGACATTTGTTTCTCTTGACTGAAGCTGTACCACTCCTTGTCTTCGTGTGCGCAGGTTTTGGTTGTTGGCAACCGTGATGATCACTTCCCGTTGGAGTCGATGTTCGCGTTGTACGAAACGCCCGGACGAGCACATGTGTTGCCCGCAGCAACTGTCCAAGAACCAGGTGTCTTGGCCGGATGGTTCACTTTGAGCGATGGCGGCGTACGTTGGATTCGGCTGGAGTAGCTCACGGCGAGGCGTTCTGTTGTCAAGCTCTTCTTCCGGTGAGTAGTGTGGTGGTGATTCGGTTGTACATGAATCTGTTATCTTCGTCATGCAGTTGATTATATTTCTTGCTCCTTGTGCAGGTTGTCCGGGTGAAGTCGTTGAAGCTTGAATAGTGGTCGTCGCACTTGCTTGTGTTGAAGCCATTTGGGAGCTTGAAGGTCGAAGTTGTCGCTGTGGTGCCGTTGATTGCTGACGATTCGGGCAGTGTGTGCGCGGGTGCCCTGAAGTCTTGCAGATGTGGCAGAAGGGAGGTACTATCTTCGGTTGCTGCTGTCGGTTGTTATAATTGCTGTGTCGTCGTTGAGTGTGGAATGCGAACTCTGATACTGCCGTTTTCTTCCTGTGTCGTTCTTCCTGCAGGTCCATATCTTGCTGCTCGGCATGTATTTCGGCGCAGAGTGCAGCTTCAGAGATTCTTCCGTGGGCTCGAAGAATGGCTTTGGTGGCGCGCCACTGAGGACCAAGCCCACCAATGATGACTGTCACGAAGGCGTCTTCAGAGATTGACCCTCCGCATCGAAGCAGCTTGTCGCGCAGTTCGCGACATCGGCTGATATACGCCAGTCCTTTTTCTCCTGGTTTCATTTCGACTGTCGTCAACTGCGCCATTAACCTGCTCTGGTTTACACTGTCTGTTGCTTGATACAGGTTCTTCAGATGGCTGTACGCGAGCTCCGCCGAGTTGCCGAAGGTCCGGTAAGAGCGAATGTTCTGCTGCTGAGTTGGTGTCACATTCCTCAATAGGATTGTATACGCCATCATTGATTGATACGTATACTGCTGCTTTTCATATTGTGTCCCGTTGGCTGGATACTGCAGGGACCCGTCGAAGAAGCCGAGTATCTGCGCGCCCTCCATCATCAGCTCGAATTCAAAGGACCAGGTAAAGAAGTCTTTGCCGTCGAAGGGTCTTGACGTTTGCAGTTTTAAGACGTGTGCAAACTGCGACTGAACTTGAAGTGCGTCCAGTGGTCTTTCTTGTCCAGGTGAAGGTTGCGGGTGGGGCACGAAGCTGATTGACCCGCGCTCGTACGGAGCAAAGGTAGGTTGCTGCTGCTGGTTTCCTCGCGCATATGACGACCCATCAAGACTCATGGGTGTCGCTCCGTTGTTGCTGTTGTGTGTTTGTGCAGGTCCCGACTGCTGGTGTTGTTCGTAGAAGGACATGAAGGAGAAAAATTTCTCCATCATGTTCTGGTCAAAGTCCGAAGGGTGGTTCATGGGGGTCTCGGTTGACGTTCCTCTTGGTCTTGTTGCCGTGCCTTCTTCTGTCTGCAGGCCAGAGGCTGACGGTGGAGTAGGAGTAGTGCCCGAGGAGCCATTAGGGGAGCTCCTTTCCTTGTTTGTTGCCATGTCTTGTAATGATATTGAAAAAAGAGTAGAGTTTCCCTTGTCTGCTCTCATACCATGTTGGGCTGAGATAGCCCCTTAGGATCTTTGCAAGGGATAACTCTAGGTGAAGTAGTTGTAATAGCGGAAGCGTTTAGTGAAGAATTTGAACCGACCTTGCACTGGTGTGTGAGAGCAAAGTTGATTGAATTAAACAAGCAAATACAAGGATTTATATAAGAGTACAGGGAATAGATAGATAACTGTATTGCTGTTGCGGTTCGATGTAGCGCGACTCGGGCAACTGCTCTGTAACGAGTCAGTTGTGTGTCCTTAACTGTCGCGCTGTAATTGTCGAGTCAAAGGTCAGCGACCTTTGACTTTCTCGTAACCTCCAGGCGGTTACCCTAACCTCCGAGGTTGACTCGATGCTTCGATTGGGACTGCTTCGCTTGGTACCTTGGATTTTGATACGACAGAAGCGCACTTAGGACTTATTGTTTCCAACAAAAACAATAAGATGAAAACATAACAAAAACATAACAAAGAAGGTTGGCGTTCAAATCGACCTAACAAAAACATAAGATGAAAGGAAGTAAAAACGTCAATGAAATATGCAAATACGAGACTGTAAGCATGCAACACAGGAAAGAGGCGATGAATACTTGAAGCATGGATGCAATCTAGTGAAATACCTAAAGCTAAAGTATCTACAACAATCCTAGAACCTAAGCCTTAAAAAACCTGCGGCCAATACTATGTTAAACGACTACGATATGAGAGTGAGAAATGTTAGTCTAGCTTGTAACGATCTGATTTTGTTTGATTTGATTTTCTTACCTTGCACTAGTAGGTGGAGCGTGTCTGGCGGGGAGCTCATCTATCGAGAAGGAGCAGCGAGAGAAAAAAAGGAACAAACAAACCCTAGAGCAGTTTCTGATTCGTCGCAAGGCCTTAAGTCCAATAAAATTATTTGTTCATGCACAACATCAGTACTGTTGCAGATGATTGAAATTGGACGGCAATTCGAAAAGTGTCCGGATTGACTCCTGCAGATGCGATTTTTCATTACTCTCCAAGTGAGAGGAAGTACATCTTAGTGTTATACTACAGCATCATGTACAGATTTAGTTGTACAAATGTATGTAAATACGCAAAACGCTTCGCAACCCTAAGACGATTTCGTCGCCTCTTGTTTTTGAAAAGAACGCACGCAACTGCACAGCAATTCGGCTACGAAAAATGGATTACAGTTCGAGCGAGTGATAAATTATTGGTCTCCTTGAAAGAATCAATGATGTGGCTCCGCACGATCCCTCTGCAGGACATCCCGCCCCGTGCCATCACCCGTCCTCCGCCCTATCACCTCACCCCGTCGTGGAAGCGGAGCTTGCTGGCACCGCGGATGCCCTTCCCCCCCTCTCCCGCGACCGCGGGAGAGCTGGCAGCAGGCAAGCATGCGCAGACGAATGCAATCAAGGGAGGAGAGGTCGACTGGCCTCCACAATTGCTAGAAGCATTTGCTCCGAAGAACCTAATTTAGCCTTACTGCCTCCTGTGAGGTCAGCCGCCATGGCCGATGTGAGTTCAGACAGTTTCTTTTTTCTTTTAATTGACCGCATGTTAGTGTAACGTGGCTACCGCGGCAGGCATTTGTACCGTGTTCACATTCTGGCTCACGCAGCGCTGGTTTGTTTCTGTTGTGTGTGCATTTGTTGTCGTGGGTCGACGCCGCTGGCCAGACTAAGAAACGATCGCCAGCATTGCGCGTGCTCGCGACACCAAGTCAAGGTACGCTGCTGGCATTACTGGCGTCCTTGCTGTCGAGGGCGTTTCGTGTTTCCTAAAAAGGTTTAGTGGCGAGCTTTGCGAAGCGGCTTCTATTGTGCTCCTGTCGGTTTTCACCCCTTTTTGCGGTGTGCAGACCGGTTCACCGATTTGTACGACCTCGGGCAGAAGCTGGGGTCGGGGCAGTTTGGGACGACGTACGTGTGTCGCGAGCGCTCGACGGGCAACAAGTACGCGTGCAAGTCGATTCCCAAGAGCAAGCTGCTCACGGAGAATGACGTTGAGGACGTGCGACGCGAGGTTGCCATTCTCTACCACGTGCAGGTGCGCGTTGGCCCCGCTGTGCCACGTGCAGGCGCGAACTCCCATAGTTGCGGAACGCAGCGCCGGATGCCTTGCTGCAGTGTCGGCAATGCTGCTGTCGTCAATGCTCCGTTGCCGGCAATGCGGGGCTGCTGGCAATGCTGCGCTCTCGGCATTGCCGCGCCGTTGCCATTGCTGCGCTGCCGGATTCCTGCTGCGCGCGCTAGTACACAGCCATGTCGCGCTCGCATCTGCCGCGCATGCGTCCACCGCTGACCGCGTTGCATCCTCGCCGTGGCCTGACTGCTATCCGCGTGCGTGCGTGCGTGCGTGCGTGCGTGTGTGGGAATGCAGGGGCAGCCGAACATCGTGAACATGAAGGGCGCGTACGAGGATCGCGACTACGTGCACATCGTCATGGAGCTCTGCACGGGCGGCGAGCTCTACGACACCATCATCGAACGCATCGAGGCGCGCGGCGTCCCCTACTCGTGCGTCCGCCTTGCACCCCGCCGCGAGCCCCTCGGCCTTCCACCTGTTCCCCGATCCCCCTCGCACGCCTCGTTTCAAATGCTCGCCTCCGCGCATACCCCCCGTTCCTCTCGACTTCCACTCTCAATTCTTCTACCTCTCCTTTCGTTTCCCCCCTCCGCCCTCAACGCTCTCCCCCCATTCCTTTCTCTCCCTTTCCCCCTTTCCCTCCACCTCCCCCGCACAGCGAGCACGACGCGGCGGAGATGGCGCGCGTGATAGTGCGCGTGGTGGAGCGGTGCCACGCGCTGGGCATCGTGCACCGCGACCTCAAGCCGGAGAACTTCCTGCTGTCGTCGCGCGACCCCGACACGGCGGAGCTAAAGGCGACGGATTTCGGGCTGTCGTGCTTCTACAAGGGCGAGGGCATGGCGCGCCACTGCGGCTCGCCCATGTACATGGCGCCCGAGGTCGTGCGCTGGCGCTCCGCCACGCAGCTCATGGTGAAGCGCCCCGCCAAGTACGGCCCCGAGGTGGACATCTGGAGCGCGGGCGTCATCATCTACGCGCTGCTCTGCGGCTTCCCGCCCTTCTACCACAGTACGCGCCCTTCTACCACAGTACGTGCCTTCGTACCACAGTGACATGGCTGGCCACTGAGGTCGATGACGTGACTTGTGCAATCAACTGCTGCTGTTCCTCCCTCCACTTCTCCGCGCCTTTCCGGCCACCAGTTCCCAACCTTCCCCGCACCAACCACCCAACCAAACCCCCCCCCCCCTCCTCCCCTTTCCCCTCTCCCCCCCTCCCTCCCCCTCCCTTCTCCCCAATTCCTGCCCCGCCTACCCCCCTGCAACGGTGTGCGCGCAGGCAGCCATTCGACGAAGGAGATATTCAAGGCGGTGCTGCGCGCTAACCCGTCCTTCTCCATCCCGCCGTGGCCGTCCATCTCCGACCAGGCCAAGGACCTCCTGCGCCAAATGCTGCACCCCGACCCCGCCAAGCGCCCCTCCGCGCACGAAGTGCTCTGTCAGTCCCGCTCCCCGCATGCTCCGCCATCCCTTTTCCCCATGTTACTCTCTCATTCCCCCACCGTGTCCCATGCATGACCCCTCCCCATTCATGAAACCCCGTTCCTCCCCCCTCCCCCCCCCTAATCAGCAGCTCCCCAACCCCAGCCCACTTAACCCCCTTCTTCCCGCCCCCTCCCCCCCTCCCGCCCGCATACGTGCGCGCGTAATGCAGGCCACCCGTGGCTGGCGGAGGCGGGCGTGGCGCAGACGGAGCCGCTGCCGCCCGTGGTGCTGACGCGGCTGAAGCAGTTCACATCGATGGTGAAGATGAAGCGCATGGCCATGAAGGTATGGTGAAGATGAAGCGCATGGCCATGAAGGTATGCCTTTTGACGAACGAGGGGGAGCGGGGAACAGTCACTCAACACGCCGAAGCAAGCAAGAGCTGTGCACAACGTGAATGCAACGAGAGGGAACGAAGTGTAGGGAAATGTGTGGGGCAGGCAGTTTTGATGTTGCTGCCACACCACAGACGAGCATGAAACATGAGGTGTCACGCGAATCACTCATGCACCCTCCATGCCTCGTCACTCTCCCGTCTCACTCTCCCGTCCCATCACCACCCATTCACGTCCCACCTTGCTCCGCAGCACCTTACCCCCTCTCCCGCTTCCCCTTCCCGTCCACCCCTCGCCCCAATCCCGCAACCCGCACACCACTGGCGCCCCCACCGCTCCCCCCCTCTACACATGATGTGGCGGGGCCGGCCGGCGGTTGGTGCAGGTGATAGCGGAGGGGCTGAAGGAGGAGGAGATCCGCGGGCTGCGCGAGCTGTTTGAGGCGATGGACACGGACGGCAGCGGCACCATCACCATGACCGAGCTGCGTGATGGGCTCAAGAAGTACGGCGCCAACCTCAGTGACGCTGAGATCAGCAGAATCATGGAGGAGGTGCGATGGGGGGAATTGTGGAGGAGGTGAGATGAGCGGAATTGTGGAAAGTGTAAGAGGAGGAGAATCATGCAGGCGGTGAGGCAAGATGAAGCATGGAGAACGGGGAGTGCATTGGCAGGTGGATGGAGGGCAAGGTGGGAAACGGGCATGGGCAGGGCGCAGGTGGGGCACGTCAATGTGGTGCTTAGCAGACTACGTTACTCATTCTATGTGGCATTCTGTTGTGGTGGCATGCTGGGTGCATGGTGGCCATGTGATGGCATGGTGGGCATAAAAATGGCATGTGATGATGTGGTCGACATGTGACTTGTATTTCATGGCATATGACGGCATGCTGTCATGGATGGCATTGTGGGCATATGATGGCATGGCATGCCCCTTGCAGACGGACATAGACCAGAGTGGGGAGATAGAGTACGGGGAGTTCCTGGCGGCGACGCTGAATTTGAGCAAGATAGACAAGCAGGAGAACCTGCTCAAGGCGTTTGCCTTCTTTGACACGGATGGCAGCGGCACCATCACGCTGGACGAGCTGCAGAAGGCGTGTGAGCAGCTCAAGATGTCCACCGCCGAGGTCGAGGCCATGATGCGCGAGGTCGACGAAAACAAGGTCTGTGCGCTGCTGGGAGGGGGGGGGCGGTGGGGAGAGGGGGTGGACGAGGGGGGGGGATGGTTCGGGGATTGGGGGGTTAGGGGCTGGGCGCAAGTCAGTCTCACGGGGTTAGTGTGTACGCTTGCTGTGTATTTTTTTTTCCACATGCAATCTGGTGCCATCATGCTTATTGCCTAATGGTTCAAATTCTATGAGTGCAGGATGGGACGATTGACTACCAGGAGTTTGTGGCGATGATGAGGAAGACACAGACAGGAGGCCTCACACGCCGCGACATCATGGATGGCAACTACGGCCTCACAGATAAAGAGTTTGGAAGCGAATCTTTCCGTTTCTTGCTCAGTTGATAGCTGTGCAGACACTTGTCATTCCCTAAGGTCGAATTCAACTTAATCTAGGAATTGAGTCAGCTATTAGTTCTTGTAACTTTACGTGAATTGCCCTTAGAGCTGTCCTGTGTGTACGAAATTCTAACCCGCAATCTTCAAGATCGTTTTAGCGCATCGCCTTTCGATGAAATGTACGTCTCGAACTCTGGTACATTGTTGCGGAGATGCCACTGCCATTGTCGACACGTCGGCTAATACCGACTACGTGGCAGTCCCTTGGAATTAGCCCCAAGCGCCTGGTTCTTGGGAATTGTGGGCCTGAATTCGAATTGCAGCGCCTGAAAAGATGCGCGCTCCTAGATTTCCCCGTCCTCCTTGCCTTCTCCCTCCCCGCCCTCGCTCCCGCCTTGCGCCCTCGACTCCGCCAACACAGGTGCGCCCCACACTGCAGCCACCTCTCGACCACAATTCCTCAGAATCGAACCCTCCGCCGCACCACTGCGTGTCCAGCAAAGACAGACTGGCAACTGCAGCCGCAGAATATTCCTTTCAGAATTGAGTTGAGTTGATCACAACAGGCGCAGCGAGTTGAGGTGAGGCATGGCGCACAGGCAGGAATAGGCTTGGAGAGCGGACCACCAGGGCGCTCAGAGCGGCCGCCTCCATCGCGCCATTGTCGCTGCATCGCGCCATTGCAAGCCATGGCTGCTCTACACCCGAGCGCAGTCGTCCAGCCAAGTACGGTTCGTGTCATGCTTCTGCCCAATACCCGTCGCTTGCGCCCAATTCGCTTTCAAAATCGGTTCTATCATGTCACAGATGCATGACTGTCGCATGAGCGTTGAGTCACCGGCATCTATGGCGTCGTGGGGCTGTAATGCGTCCCTCTCCCCCCTCTCTCCCCGCCATTGTCTCAGCGCGTCTCGCTATCGGCCACTCGTCCCACCGCACCTCCGCGCGTCGCATCGATTGCAATCCCGCATTCGCGCCATGTGCCAGCCACGCGCCCTTCTCCGCCGTTGCGCCATCAGCAATCAGGACCCGCCCGCTCCGCGCCAATCAGAACAGTCGACGACCACATTCGAGGCGGCTGATCGTTCGTGCGACAGAAAGCGACGAGGGCGCAATTGCACGCCGGGTGGAGGAAACGCAAGGCGGGGAGGCGAGCAGCAGGGGCGCTGGTGATGGCGCAACGGGGGAAACCGCGGGTGATAGTGGCGGAAATGGTGCTCTTTCGGCGGGGACGGGTGTGAATTCCGCGGATGCGCTGGTCGTCGCGGATAGTGCGCGAGGCGAGTCAGCATCGTCGGTATCGGGGGAAGAGGCAGCGGCGGCGTCGTCCCCCGGGTGGTGGAGCGGCGTGTGGGGCGCGGGGGGCTGGCAGAAGCGGTGGAGCATCGTGGTGCTGTGCTTCTTCGCCTTCCTGCTCTGTAACATGGACCGCGTGAGTCGCCTTCCTGCTCTGTAACATGGACCGCGTGAGTCGCCTTCCTGCTCTGTAACATGGACCGCGTGAGTCGCCTTCCTGCTCTGTAACATGGACCGCATGAGTCCATGGCGGGGGGGGGAAGAGAATGGGACACATGGAATGCAACATGGACCACGTGCCATGAATGGGGAGGGGAGGACGATGCAACATGGACCGCGTGAGTCACGGGGAAGGGCGGGAATGCAACATGCAGTGCGCGAATCAAGGGGGAACGGGAGTGCAGCGTGCTGGGCAGGTCGTTGCACAGAATTGATGAGGCGCTGTTGGCCTCGTGGCCGTGCCGCCATGCGCGCATGCCCGTGCTGCTGCGCCTCGCGTACTGCTCGTGCACATCCCCCCCCCCCAATGCGCGCGGGCACCTGCTGTGCAAACTGTCCCCCCCTTGCTGAACGGTTCTCCCCCTCCTCTGTTGGGGCTGGTGCGGCGCGCAGGTGAACATGAGCATAGCGGTGCTGCCCATGGCGGAGCAGTTCCAGTGGTCGCCCGCCACCGTGGGGCTCGTGCAGTCCTCCTTCTTCTGGGGCTACCTCCTCACGCAGGTAGGTGGGGCTACCTCCTCACGCAGGTAGGTGGGGCTACCTTCTCACTCAGGTGGGTGCCTCCTCACTCAGGTACGTGCCTCCTCACTCAGGTACGTGCCTCCTCACTCAGGTACGTGCCTCCTCACTTAGGCACATGCCTCTCGCCCTACCCTCCTCACGCACGCATGTGCCCCTCACGCAGGTACCTCACTCGTGTGTGTGCGCTGCACTCACGACGCACACACTGCCGTGCTCATATCTCAACGCTTGTTCTGCTTGCGCAGTTGCCGCGCTGCTATGCCGTCTCACCACTCTCTATGCCCTTCCCCCTCTCCCCCTCCCATCCCTCTTTCACCCCATTCCCTTCTCTCTCTCTCAACCCCCTCCCCTCCCGCCCACACGCCCGTCCCCCGGGAGCATGGCAGGTGGCGGGGGGGGTGTGGGCGGACACGATAGGCGGCAAGCAGGTGTTGGGATTCGGGGTGGTGTGGTGGTCGCTCGCCACCGTCCTCACGCCCATCGCCGCCTCCCTCGGCCTGCCCGCACTGCTCTTTGCGCGCGCCTGCATGGGCGTCGGCGAGGTCAGTCCGCCCCACTCCCCCCGTAAACCCGTCCGTGCCCCCTCGCCGCTGCTGCTGCTCACGCCACTGCAATTCCCTGCGTCCCTCTGCCAACCGCCCTGTCCGCCTCCACGCCTCCCCGCGCCTCAGCCGCGCTCCTATCACCCCTTCTCCCCCTGTCTCAACCTTCCCGCAACCTTCCCCCAACCCTCCCCCTTTCCCACCCGTGCGCTACCCTCTCCCTCGTGCCTTGGCTGGGTGGGGAGGGCAGGGAGTGGCAATGCCAGCGATGAACAATCTGCTGTCCAAGTGGGTGCCGGTGGGCGAGCGCAGTCGCTCCCTGGCGCTCGTGTACAGCGGCATGTACCTGGGCAGTGTGGCGGGGCTGTCGCTGTCGCCCGCCATCATCCACGCCTTCGCCTGGCCCTCCGTCTTCTACTCCTTCGGCTCCCTCGGCCTCGTCTGGTTCGCCTGCTGGCAGATCAAGGTACGCCACATGCTGCTGGCAGATCAAGGTACGCCACATGCTGCTGGCAGATCAAGGTACGCCACATGCTGCTGGCAGATCAAGGTACGCCACATGCTGCTGGCAGATCAAGGTACGCCACATGCTGCTGGCAGATCAAGGTACGCCACATGCTGCTGGCAGATCAAGGTACGCCACATGCTGCTTCCCCGCTCCATGCACTGCAAACCTCCCGGTTCAGTAGAAAACAAATAAACAACAAAAAAAAACTGAACACCGAGCCCTTGGCTTGGCTGCACCCCCATCTGTAGCCCAACCACCTCCTGCCCTCACTCCCCCTTCCCCTCCCCCTCCCCCTCCCCCTCCACCTCCCCCCTCAGGCGTTCAGCTCGCCCGCGGAGGACCCCAGTGTGTCACCCGCAGAGAGGGCGCTCATAGCAGCCGGGGGCGCACAGAAGGGGCAGGGCGCGGGCAAGGCGCATGAGGGGGGAGGGGGCCCGCACCTGGAGGGCAGTGAGCCGCTGCGGCTGTCGACGATCCCGTGGCGGCTGCTGCTGAGCAAGGCGCCCGTGTGGGCCATCATCATCTGCCACTTCTGCCACAACTGGGGCGTCTTCATCCTCCTCACCTGGATGCCCACCTACTACCATGATGTGAGGCTTGTGAGGCATACGCATGCCCACCTACTACCATGGTGTGAGGCATACGCATGCCCACCTACTACCATGGTGTGAGGCATACGCATGCCCACCTACTACCATGGTGTGAGGCATACGCATGCCCACCTACTACCATGGTGTGGGGCATACGCATCCCCACCTACTACCATGGTGTGGGGCATACGCATCCCCACCTACTACCATGGTGTGAGGCATACGCATGCCCACCTACTACCATGGTGTGAGGCATACGCATGCCCACCTACTACCATGGTGTGGGGCATACGCATGCCCACCTACTACCATGGTGTGGGGCATACGCATCCCCACCTACTACCATGGTGTGAGGCATACGCATGCCCACCTCCTATCATGATGTGAGGCATAGGCATGCCCACCGCCTACCAAGATGTGAGTCGTGCCATGCCCACCTGCTATTACAATGCGAGTCATGCTCACCTGATATGTGCCACGGCCCTCCCACCCACTCAGTCACCCGCCTACAAGCCTCTAATCTCCTAATCCCTGCATGTCACCACCTCCCCTGCATGGCATGCACGCGGCACATGGGCACATGGACCTGGGAATGGCAGGTGTTGGGGTTCAACCTGACAGAGTCGGGGCTGTTTGCAGTGCTGCCGTGGCTCACCATGGCCATCGCCTCCAACGTCGGTGGATGGATCGCCGACACCCTCATCGCCAGGGGCCTCTCCGTCACCCTCGTGCGCAAGGTGGGCCTCTCCGTCACCCTCGTGCACCCCCCTCCCGCATTCTCTCCTCTCAGGTCCGACCTTTTTTCCAATATGCCTCTTCACTAAACCTGCTCCTCTTGCGTCCTTCGTACCCCATTGTGCCTGCTGCCCGACCACCCGCCATGCCCTGCCACAGGTGATGCAGAGCATCGGCTTCCTGGGACCGGCCATCTGCCTCTCACTGCTCTCCACTGTCAAGTCGCCTGTGGCTGCCATCGCCCTGCTCATGCTCTCCCAGGTACCACCCCCCCACCCCTCCACCCCTCCACACGCCACTACTTGCTGCTGCCTCTCACCATTCCTCACTCACTTGCTATTCTTGCATCTGTCTTGGATTCTCCCATGCCCCCTGCATCCATGCCGCTGTGCCTCATGCCCCATGCCCCATGCCTGCCCCATGCCCCATGCCCCATGCCCCATGCCTCATGCCCCATGCCCCATGCCCCATGCCCCATGCCTCATGCCCCATGCCCCATGCCTCATGCCCCATGCCCCATGCCTCATGCCCCATGCCCCATGCCCCATGCCCCATGCCTCATGCCCCATGCCTCATGCCCCATGCCCCATGCCTCATGCCCCATGCCCCATGCCTCATGCCCCATGCCTCATGCCCCCTGCACCTCCCCCCCCCCAGGGCACGGACGCCTTTTCCCAGTCGGGGCTCTACTCCAACCATCAGGACATCGGCCCGCGCTACGCGGTCAGTGCCTCCCCACTGCCACGCGCTCGCTGCCTGCCTCTGTGATCTTGCACCTGCCGTTCTCACTTGCCTCGTCCCTCACCCACCCCGTTCTTCCCCTCTGTCTGGGCCCGCATCACTTGCCTCACCATCCCCTTCTCTCGACCGTGCATGCTCGCTGTGCCTCAGGGCATTCTGCTGGGGCTGTCCAACAGTGCTGGTGTGCTGGCGGGGGTCTTCGGCACGTACGTCACGGGGCAGATCCTTCAAAACGGTACGTCACAGACTCATGGGACGATCCCTTGAACAGCCTTGGGAGCTGCAAGGCCCTGCCGTACTGCCTCCCTTGTAGAGCCGTCTGAAAAGCACCACACCCCCCCTCCCCCTACTCCTCTCTCCCCCTCGTGTGCTGGGTGGTGGCAGGGTCGTGGGACGAGGTGTTCACGGTGGCGGTGGCGCTGTACCTGGTGGGCACCGTTGTGTGGAACGTCTTCGCCACCGGGGAGAGGGTCTTTGACTGACCCGCTGCCTGCCCCTCACCTTCTCTGCTTGCCTGTGCAAGCTTGGGGTAGTAGTATGCAATGTAAATCACATTGTTTCAGAGCTACAACATATCATTGGATCCCTCTGAAGAATGTTCACGCGGTTCTCCCATATCCAAAATACATCTGGTACTGAAGGTTAAAAACATAGGTATGAATGAAGAGTGCATACCGTAGCTCACTAGTCGACAAAGCACTACAGGACTAGAGAACAATAAAGCTCGACAACACTGTAGTGTAGGTCAATGTGTACTTGCAAATGAGAATATTCATCAAATGCAGCGAGCCACAGACTGGGGTAGTCACAAGTTACCGTAATGATGATTCCGGATCATTGCAAAAGTGGCCATCAATGTTATGAGAGCACATGCAGGAACTCAGAGTGCCAGAAATGCCACAGTCACAACAGCAGCCATGAGAATGGTGTCCTTAGTCAGACAATATTGACCTGCCACACACAGCAACGATCAGAAACAGTGAGAGCGAATAAAGAGAATGTGGCACGTCTGATGCCACATGCAGAGACCGAGCACCCTCCCAGCCCCCCTCTCACCTGCACCAGCGCTGCCAGGAGTGTCGTTGCTCCCCGGCACTCGCACGGGGGCGGGAGGAGCCGTTGTGCCCTCATCACTGCCAGGAGGCGGAGGGCTGTTATCGCTGCCAGGAGGAGCAGCACTCGGAGTCGGCGCCGAACCGATCATTGGTTCCGAGGCCGGAGCAGAGGCTGGGGCCGACCCTGGCGCTGCAGCAGGCTCGGATGCTGGCGCTGGGGCAGGGGCGGGACCAGAAGGGGTGGCGGCAGCAGCAGGGACAGGAGCAGGACCCGAGGAGGAGGAGGGGGCAGGGGTGGGGGCGGCGGAAGGCGCTGAAGCTGGGGAGACCGAGGAACTGGGCGCGGCAGAGGGAGTCGGCGCGAGTGTGGGCGCGGACGCAGGGGCAGTGGCGGTGGGTGCCGGAGCCGGGGAAGGGACTGGCGCGGACGGCTGTTGCGATAGAGTTGGTGGCGCGCCCAGAGCGAGCAGGAGCACCAGGAAGACGGCGGGGAGTGCGGAACCCATCTCGGCTCAGTGGGGCGACGAGGAGGTGAGCCTCAGGAGTTGCGCTGAGTATGAATAAGAATACCGCTGAAAGATGGCGAGGGAAGGCACGGATTTAAGCCACGCCGTTAACCCTCGTCTAGGTCGCGCCGATCCCTTTGGCCCAGCAGCACCGCGCTCACCGTCAACCTCATTTTCGCGACAAGTCACACCATGGCGGCGGTCACATCTTCTGATGCTGACTGCGGAGGCCGAATCGCCCCCGTATGACTCCTCGTCGACCATTGCAAGCGACGTCGCAACGACTTGAAAGTGCAGGACAAGAGACCCGCAGAACAAATGCATGCCGTCAGCTAGGCGTATAGCGTGCCTTGAGTCAGAAGACATTTGTGACGTGATGTGGGACCCGTAAAAGAAATGCGTGCCGTCACGACTGACGGGAGAATCGAGGAGCAGAGGGTGGTACTGTACTAGAGGAAAGCGGTGGAGCAAGGACAGGACAGGTCGCAGGAGAACAGGGCTCCAAGCTCCAGGCTCCAGCATTCTGGGCTGCAACTCTCTGTGTCTACACCCATGCTTGGAGAGTAAAGTAGGCTGTATGAGGACACTGGCATTACATGGTTACCCCCCTGTAGTAAGGCCTTTTGTCAATAACGTTGCATTACCTGGCAACTATTACATGATATCCGGGCTTTCCAATTATCAAAACATTACTCAGTACAATAGCTGATAAACTTCAGTACAACACAAGCATGTTCAAATCTGGAACGTATATCAATATCATGTCATGTTACACCTTCTGCACATATAGCACAACCACCAATATTATGTGTCAATGGGCGTGTGTGACACCAGAACATCTTCACCTCTGCACAGAACTGCACCTCCCCAAACCTTTGTACCCCTGCAACTTCACAAGGCACCCTTGCCCTTCATCAGCTATGCAACAGCAGGCATGGCTTCAGGCGGCTGCCATGCAGTGGCTTGCAGGCATCAGCACACATGTGCATTCACGCGGGCACGGTACATCTCCAGCACCTCCTCATTCTGTGCTCCATCCGTCTCCACCACAGCGGACGCCAGCAGCTTGTTGCTGCCCGCGGGCACAAAGAAGATGTCCCCCACGTGCACACCCTGCACGTATGACGGCGCCGCCGCCACCGCTGCCGCGCACCCATGCACCTTGGTCAGCCCGTTGGCCGGGGCCACTGAGATGGCTCCAGATCCGCGAAACACCAGCAGAATGGACGGCCCAGATATCTCTGGCAGGGCTGCCGTCTGCCCGAGGGGCACAGAGATCTTTTCGACCTCAAACTCCTCGAAGGGCGGCGTGTAGAGTGTGACGTGGGGGGTGACGCGGTCACCGTTGAGCAGGTGGGGGCGGCCCTGGTGGTAGGTGAGCATGGAGGTGAGCGTGTCTGTGTCGCGGTACTTGGGAGTGAGGCCCGCGCGCACCACGTTGTCAGACGCCGCCATGCACTCGATGCACTCGCCTGCCAGGTACGCGTGCGGCTCGTTGGCGGCGAGGCAGATGGCCTGGCCGGGCAGCAGCGTGACGTGGTTGAGGAAGAAGGCGGAGAGCACGCCCACGTCGCCCGGGTACTGCTGCTCCAGCCGCTGCACCAGCTGCTCCTTGTCCGACAGCTCGCGCTCCTGCATGCACCCATGGGCGGCCACAAAGGTCAGCCACATACATGGTTAGTGCATGGTGCATGCGCGATTGGTGGGACAGGTAGAGTGCATGCTGCATGGCACTGGGACCAGTGATCAAACAGGAAATGCCATTCCCAGTTGCATGACATGGCATGATACGGCATGTATCACAAGCGAAGGGCACATGCGAATCCTGGATGCAACGGTGACCATGGCAGCATGACATGGACACTTCGACTACGCGCCTGATACAACCACGTCATGACGCACGCACCTTGGATTCGGCCTGCAGCCGCGCCACAAGGCTCGAAAGGTGCTTCTCAATCACGGCGCCGTCTTGCGTCATCAGCGCTCTGAACGCGTCCTTGAACGCCCTTCGCTCCGCACACTCCTGAGCTTCATGAGCGCCGTTGACGCCGTTGACTCCGTTGACGCCGTTGACCCCATTGACGCCGTTGACACCATTCTTGCTGGCTCTCAGCACGCTGTCCGCCGTGTGTTCGCCGATGGCCATTCGCAGTTCCGGCACCGACTGGATGCTTTCGCGGAGTTCCTGAGATAGACAACAGCGGGGCCGTAATTAATTAGGCCAGGCTACAAGAGAGAGACAAACGTGGTCGCGAAACGAAGTGCTGCACAGCGCCATTGGCTGCACAACGCAACCTCGCATACCAACCACGCGCACTCGCTTACTTACCAGGCGCACCTATCTCGCATACTAGCCACGCGCATCAACCTCGCATGCTAGCCACGCGCACCAATCTGACATACTAGCCACGCGCACCGACCTCGCATATTAGCCACGCGCACCGACCTCGCATACTAGCCACGCGCACCGACCTCGCATACTAGCCACGCGCACCGACCTCGCATACTAGCCACGCGCACCGACCTCGCATACTAGCCACGCGCACCGACCTCGCATACTAGCCACGCGCACCGACCTCGCAAACCCACTTCTTAGATTGCCCTCCTCTCTATCCTTCCCTCGCGCCCTTCCCGCGCGCCCTCCCGCGACCCTCACCCGCGAGGTGACGAAGCCGCAGAGCGCCTCGAAGTTGGTGACGGCGAGCGCCATCTCAGGCTTGTGGTTGGCGTCCTTGTAGTTCTTCGGCTGCGTCGCGTGCAGCCGCTCCGCCAGCCGCTTGTCTGGGTGCGCCTGGATCGACAGCGCCTTCGCCACGCTCAGTACCTGCCGGGAAAGCACGATGCCACATCAGCATGCACTCGGTTGCTGCAGCGTGTTGCGGTGAGGTATACTGAGTGACGGGCAAGCGATATGTTTCTTCACATGCATGATGCAGCCTCCCTTATTAAAAATACCTAACGCGTAATATTGCAGTAACATATTAAGGGAGAGGCGGAAAGATAGAATGGCAGCCGCCAGCTTCCACACGACAATTTTAGGGTTTCAACGATCACATCCTGATTAATTATAGAAAGGCACAAACCCGATCCACACATCATGCAGCGACGTACCTTGAAGAGGAACGGCAGCTGGCCGGGCCACTTGTGCTGCACTGTGGCGCCCAGGGCCTCGGGGTGTGCGTCGAGCCACTCTTGCAACAGCTGCGGCTCGCCCGCTGCGACGTCGGCCTTGACGAGAGCGGGGCACGAGGCATCGACCTCATCCGATTGCGCGGACGGCAGCACAAGCGACGGCCCGCTGGGGTGCGTGCCCATCCAGAGCTCGGCGTACGGCACGTCTTCCTTAGCCGCCTCCGCGCTGCCGCTCGTGCCCAGCGCGTAAAGCCGACCCACCGTGCTCCCACTGCCCTTGATGCCCCAATCATACGTCTGCGCCACGCAGCGCATTCGAAGAATCGGCGGGTAGCTGCCAGCCATTGCTTTAGTAGTCGATCTGGTCGTGGATTACCAAGTATGTGCTAGGAAAGACAGGGGCAACTGAACTCCAAAGCCAAAATGTAGAGAGGCTGACAAGACGTATAAACGGCGTGACAATATGTACAAAGGTACAGGGTGCGTCTCGCGACAATCCCCAAAACGCCTAGGACAATGTGGAAGCTCAAAAAAAACTGAACCAAGGATCCATGAAATAGTTCTGGGAGTTACAGAAGCCAGACTGGAAGCGGGGATCGCGCGCGCCAAGGTTGGGGGGAGGGAGTGAAGAGGAGTGGGGGAGAACCCACTCCCTAGACGGAGTTCGTGAATGCGGGAGACGGGGAAACGGGGAGTGGGCGGAGGGGAACAGCGCCCAACGGGACAGAAGCGTGGGCAGGAGAGGATGTCGTTTCGCACCACAAAGTGGTGTGCGCATCTGCGGGCAGTCGCATGCATCTCAGGTGGGGGAGGATCTCGAAGGGGTCAACGACACGACCACACAGAGGTCTGGGAAGCCGTGGCGAAGAGCATGCCTGGAAAATACTGGCCATTTGCGGCATCCCACGTGGAATAAGTCACTGTCTGTGCCTGCGGAGCGGTGGTCAGTGGAGAGAACGGTAGGACCTGGCACCTGCGGCTCGAAACTCCCACACAGTTCTCGTGGGAACATCTGGAGTTGCAGACGCCCACCAACTCCGAAAACGTTGGCGCGGAAAGCGTTTATCCGTTGGAAGTAGGAAGGTTACGCATATAACACACTACACTTCCGCACTAGGTATACAAGGTATAAATTACAAAGTCAACATTATTGCACAGGCGTCCCTTGATGCATAGTTGCACAATAAAAAACTAGGGGCACTTCATAGTTGAAAGCACAAAATCGGTTTGACATACGCTGTCTTTTATTTTTAGGACCAATTTCAGAGCTAGAACACAGTCTATTGGAGCTTGTTGAAGAGCATTTCCACCCATGCATCCGTAACTCCTCCTTCGCACCAATGAAGGCAGTCGTTCTTCTTTGTATCTGGTGCTCCCCCTGTGGCAAAACCGGGGAATTACATTGGTCACAAAGTGTGCCCCACGTAAATTCTTGTACTGGTAATAGGACATCAAACTAGCATTGTGTTCAAAATCATCTTGCCAGTCCAAAGACATATTGCTTTTGAAGTTAGACTCACCTTTGACACTCCAGTTTTGGATGTGTCCATCGGGCCGCCAGTCGCTCATGGGCTTCACATCCACGTACACCACCGACGACCCCCTGAGAACACGCTGCTGGATGGCCCGCAGATCACTAGAGGAGCCGTCTCCACTGCGCACGCTGGCTGTCTGAGGAGGCAGGTTGGTACGGAGGCAAGGAACGAGATGTCAGGAATGGAGGTCTGACACGGAGCTCCTTCATTGTAAAATAAAAGAAAGGTGGTTGTCATACCTCTCCTCTTCCCTCTTTTTTGGTCTTCTGTCCCACAGGTGCTCCCCCCCTCTCCCTGCACTTCCCCCTCGCTCTCTCCCCTCCCACTGCGTTTCTCCCTCGAGCCCGCGCTTCCCTCTCCAGCCCGCGCTTCCCCCTCCCACTCATGCTTC